TTTTTTTTTTATGTATGTTACCGCATAACTTTGGACCACGTCAACCGATTTCTTTTTGCATCGGAAAGGTAGTGTCTCAGAGGTGGTCCCATACTAATCTGGTTGAGATCCGATCAGTGGATCATGCGATGTATATATATATATTTTTTTTATATGGGAGTTGAAGTCGGTTTTTTTTTGCTAAAAATTACTTGTTACTAATCTTCTTTTCTTCACCAGCGATTAAATCTGAAGAAAGCCGAGACTGCTGGATTTGCCGTTACTTTGGATAACCATACGCTCACTCATGATGATTTCACGAGCGCTCTGAATGAGGTGCTCTTCAATCCCAAATACCGGGATACTGCTAAACGGTTCTCGCGCATTTTCCGCGATCGTCCCATAGGTCCGCGCGAGACTTTAATCTATTGGATCGACTATGTGATACGTCACAATGGAGCGCGTCATTTGCGCGCTGCTGGCATGGATTTGAAGTGGTACCAATTCTATTTACTGGATGTTGCTGCCCTAGTTCTGGTCGCGGTTTTGGTAGCATTCGCAGTTTCTGTTTTTGCAATACGCTGGATCTTGCAAAAGATAAGGGGTGGCAAGTGTAAACAAAAAGTGCAGTAAGCATAAAATAAAATATTGAATCGAGTTGCGTGAGGGCATCGAACATGTAACGAAGAAGGATTGCGATAGGTTATGATTTACACCTTTTTTCTTAATAAAATAGCTACTTATATTCAAATACATATTTTGTAAGATGAAAAAAAATATGTTTATTTGGTTTTACCGTATTTTGAAAATACTTTTAATTTTACAGTTGAGAGAAGCCCGATTTGATGTTGCCTTTGACTTGAGAACCGATTCAGATATGCTTGAAGTATTTATGTTTTATACATATATTTTCCCGTTTTTTTTTCGTACCAAGGGTAGACCCAGTCCCAAATCACCAAGCATGTCCTTCTCCGGAAGACTTGGGGTATTCGTGCTGTTGCTTGCCAATTAGTCAGCTTTGCAGTTTCGCTCAATATCTCGGTGTCCAGGCACCGTTGCGTTGTATTCTATACCGCTGGGAAATCTTGTTTTGAGATATGTGGCATTCAGTGAGAGACTTCGTATTGTGTATGCATGAGTCTAGAGTTTCAGGGCTGCTATACTGTCAGAAGATAAATATATGTCTTTTGACCTTAGATCTTTTGACCTGATGCAGAGTAGCCTCCTGAATAGCCAGCACTTTCGCAAAGTATCACTAGAGTTGCCAAGAAACCGAAGAGATATTTTTAGTTCCAGCTCTAGGTAGAAGACTTCTCCACCAACCTTTCCGTCAAGTTTAGAGCCTTCTGTATTAATACGCCTTGATAGTGTTGCATTTGTGTTGTACTAATCCTGTCGAGTTGGTATGGTATTTTTGTTGTTTTTAGTGAATATACTAGATGGTATGCAGTAATTAGTAGTTGCAGGTTTCGGTGTGGGTGCCATTGTCCCTAAGATTTCCATATAGCCAAGCATACCATGAGTCCAAGAGCTTGTCTTTCTGGGGATTAAGGGGGAAATAACGGGTTTTCTTTGAGCAATTATATTAAGCGAAGGCAGATGTAGAGCTTCTCTAAACTGGAAAATGCTGCCCTAATGACCCTGGTACTGAGAATAATGATGTAAATATCTGAAAATAAAAGCAGCATCGTGGTTTTATTATATGCACATTCAGAGTGGAAAACGAGCATACATTTATTTTTTAAGTACAATACATTTTAAGGTTTTCAACACTTTCGATTCAAAGGAAAAAAAATTCTTTTAGTTCTCGTAAAGAATCTAAACTATCTTACTAGTAAGATTCCCAAACTGTAAATAATATATTAGATGTGATAAAGATACATTAAATCCGAGAAGTCATGGCCAAATAAATACGCAGAATGTTCTCCGACAAATCGTCGTCCACAAGGCAGAGATAACACGTCAACCAATCCGGTGCATACCCGAACAAATATATCCAATGAATAAACGAATATAAACATTATTTGAAAAATTAATGTTTTCCCAACGAAAGAGTGGGGGTGTCATACAAAATAGGTTTACGAAAATAGTAGTTTGGAAATATTTTGAATAGGATTGCCACCTATTTGAGAAGCCTAATTGAACTATTTTATACCCAAGTTATATGAAATATTAACGATGGATGTCAAATGAAAGAGCTTCAAGAAATTATTGGGGGATTCATAACTGTGTCGTAAGTGACGGTGGGACATCGACTCCATTGTCTTATCCACTACTTTCAGTGCTGTTGCCATTCGATAGGATGGAAAGGTGTTCCTTCCATAATTTAAGTACATTCTGGACATCGGTCACTAGGTCGCCAGGGTTTTTCTTAGAGGAGTTTGCCCTGGTCATGAAACTTTCAGTAAGTCGCCTAACTCTATGGTAAAATTTCCGGCCGTTTTTCCTGTGGAGCAACATTTTGAGCTCTACGCACTCACGTATTTCAGCCTTTCTCCTCTTATCGCGGCAAATATATATCGCTTCCGTCTTCAGTTCCCAATGACGGTCCCATTTGACTCGCGTTGCGCCCAATCGTAGCGTGGCCCTGTAGGCGACATCTATTTTATCTGCAGGTTTTTGACACTCCTCATCATACCAGTCGTTCTTTCGGGCCGGAAAATGTTTTTCTACTGCTCGCATTTTCGGTTTGTTGAATAGTGCTCTGTTAAAGCAGGTGTGGGAGTCTAGCCGAGCGAATGTATTAGCCGTCGCTTGTGACTAAAGCTTTTCTAGTTAAGCTTTCCTTGCATTTTTGGGCGCACATTTTTTGCTGCACGGAGGCGGGTGCTTATCCTGGCTGCAGCAAAATAGTGGTCCGAGTCGATGTTTGGTTCTCGGAGTGTGCGTATGTCTAAGTCAGTGGAAACACGTCTATCACAACATGATCGATTTGGTTTCTCGTTTTTCGATCTGGAGACAGCCATGTGGCTTAATGGATCTTTTCATGCTGAAACCTAGTACTGCATACTACTGTGTTTCGGGCCCCGGCGAAGTCAATCAGTCTCAGTCCATTATCGGACGTTTCATCGTGGAGGCTGAATTTTCCGATAGTGGCGCCAAAGATCCCTTCCCATAGAAGTGATCCTTGGACGCCTCATCCTTCTCTTCCATCTGGGCATGGGCGCATATGAGCGAGATCTTTCATAATCTCGCTTTGCTTCGGATTTGACTCGTCGGCGGAGTCTCTCTCCTACCACAAATCCAACACCGAATTTGCGCTCCTTTCCGTGGCAACTGTAGTAGACGTCGCAAGGCTTCACGTTTACCTTTCCTTGCCCCGTCCATCGCATTTCTTGGATAGCTATTTTATTTCTATACCTGATACATCTTTGTAATGTATTTAAACCTACATACTTACTTCTTCAAAAAAAAACATTTTTTGATTTGTACTCAGTTAACTGGGCCTTCCACCCGCAAAGCTCCTTCAAGAGAATCCTTGGAAGAAAACTTCTACTATCACTTTTTGCCATACAGTGCCAAGTATGCCCAAATGAGCCACAATTAAATTCAGATATGTACATACCTATGTATGTACATAAGTTAGTATTCTAAGGTTAATGTACCTATGTAGTTACATATGTATGCCGTTGTGAAGGTATGGATAAAAAAGTGAAATTTTTATTTTTGTGAAAGTCATCAAATAAAATAAAATAAAACTTCGCGAGATAAGTACAATCATAGAATTATTACGCAAGTAAACAAATCTAATATTTACTATTTTACTACAAATTTGTCTAGCGTACGTTTGCACGTTTAGTTTTGGGTCATTTCGTTCATATAATAAGGTAATGTATGCCGTTGTGAAGCTATGGTTATAAAAGTGAAATTGATATTTTTGTGAAAGTCATCAAATAAAATAAAATAAAACTTCGCGAGATAAGAACAATCATACATTCATTATATTCTTACGAAAACAAATCTTATCTTTACTATTTTACTATAAACTTTGTCAATGGTACGTCTGCCTTTCAACATTAACGAACTTTACGTAAAGTTCCAATAAGAATGTTAAAAAGGGTTTCACAAAGTTTTTTACTTTCTAACCCAAACAATGCGCTGTTGACCTAGGGATGCGTTTGGTATGAGTGAAAATCTCTCAAGTGGGTCACCCAAAATTGGACGGTCAAGATTTTTTCGCACAAATCACTTTATTCGGTTTACAACAAATTTCAAAAAATAAAAACGTTGTACAAAATAATGATTATTTAAAAATTAAAAAAAAAATCAGGCTAAAACGTGTCTAATTAACTATTATCATGAAAAAAATCAGCGAGATACATGCTATGAATCAGTGGATAATAAATAATTACTGAATTCATCAAAAAATAGTTAATAAAAATAACTCCTGTAAAATTTCGAACTTTTCAAAATTGCTCAAACTATATTTTTTATGGTTGTAAACTGAATAAAGTGATTTGTACCGAGTACAAATCAAAATCGGATGTACAAAAAAAAAATCGGATTTGATATATACACACATCTACTTTTGATTAAGGTTATATTTTTTCTCTTTTTTCTATCTAGATCCCTAATTCTACCGCTGTTCGTTCAAATAAAATTTATGTTATCCTGTTTCCCTTTATCTTTATTTTTAACAAAATCGATAGTAACATCCAACAAAACATCGATAACGAAACCGATAACAAAATCGATGACAAATTCGATTTCGATAGTAAAATCGATAATACTATTGGTATAAAAATCGATTAGAAGAACGATAAAAATATCGATGACAAAATCAATAAATAATCGATAACAAAAGGGATAACGAAAAACGATTAAAAAATCGATAAAAATGTCGATAAAGATATCTTTAACAAATTTGATTAAAACATCGATAACAAAATCGATAAATAATTGATAAACAAATCGATAAATAAATTATAACAAAATCAATAATTAACCGATAATACATCGATAAATAATTGATAACAAAATCGATTAATAATCGATAAAAAATCTATAACAATATCGATAACAAAATCGATAAAATTATCCATAAGAAGTTCATTAAATAATCGATAGCAAATTCGATAACAATAGCGATACAAAATCGACAAACAAATCGATAAATAATTGCTAACGAAATCGATAAATAATCGATAAAAAAAATCGTTTAAAATATCGTTAGAAAATCAATAAAAATATCGACAAAAAAATCGATAAATAACTTTTAACAGAATCGATAAATAATCGACAACAAAACCCATAACAATATCGATAACAAAACAAATAACAATATCGATAGCAAAATCGTTTAAAATATCGTTAGAAAATCGGTAAAAATATCGATAACAAAATCGATAAAAATATCGATAAGAAAATTGACAAAAATATCGATTGCTATATCGATAAATTCCGAGATACCCGAAAATCTCTAAAATCCCAAAATAGTTCCCAGATTGGGTATCTGTGTCTATCTATCTCTTTATAATCTTTCTTCCTCTTCTTCATCTTTACCTTTATCGGTATCCTCATCCTCATATTTTTCTTTATATTTTCCCTCCACCTTTGCCTTATAGGACGCACACCGCAAATTGGAGGAGAAGTTCGGCCAAACAATTAACAAAAGTGTAAGCGTCAATATGTCA